TCACACAGCCTTAGGCAGAACAGGGAATGTCCTTATTTCACAGGTGATATAGGGTAACCTATGGTTCAACAGAGGACTCTGTGGCACCCAGGAAGAAAGACTGCTATTTACTCCCAATGTGACATAAGAACCTGTGAACTAAGGACATTCCCCGATCTGCAGTCAAATGGCCCAGAACACTCACCTGCAGCAGGGCTGGCCGGGATTCAAGGAGATGGCAGTGTGTTTCTTTCTCTCCTGTGAGGTTAATGTCTTTGGTCTTCGTACTCAGCCCTGGCCAAATGAGTTGGCAGCCCAGGTTTTAGGACTTAGATGAGGATTAGGGGGAAGAAAGTTCAATAACCATCTTAATGTTCATGAAGAATCATTGTGCAAAAGTTTTAAGGATTTTCTTGTTTTCTCTCTACCCAGAACATGAGACTAAATTACAGCAGCAATTCAAGTTAGAAGCAAGAAGGTATTCTGTGACATAAGGACTCTTGAACACTCCATTTTCTTGTCCTTAAGGACATATGAACACTCCATTTTCTTGTCCTTAAGGACTCTTGAACACTCCATTTTCTTGTTTAAGGACATATGACTATGTAGGGGTGGTCGGTGGTTTAACTGTGGTGTTCTTCAGAGAGACCTGCCAGCCAGTCTATTCCTTTTTCATTCTCAAGGCTTTATTTACTTAATAATAGGGTTGTTTTTATACCAATGACCTGGAAGATGAGCTAGTGATTTTTCTAGACATCTTGAGTCTTCTGTGATCGTGAAAGATTTCCTTTCACTCCTTTATTCCATACTCCTCCCTCCTTCTCTTCTTTGGCAGTCTTCCACCTAAAAAGATCTCAGCTGTGCACATAGTGTGCTTGTTAGGATCTAGACTGAAGACTTGGATGCTTTTACCTAATAGGCTTCTGGGATTGCTTACACTTCTGGGCCCTCCTTGGTTCTCAGAGGTTGTTAAGTGCAAAGCCCTAAAGGTCTGAGGATTTAAAGAAGTTCAAGACACAGTCAGGCCAACATAATCTTTAACCTGATATTCTGCATCAGTCTTCTAACTGGTCAATCTGCCACCTGCTTTGTTTTCCCATTCCCAATCCATTCTCCATACTGTGGCTACAGTGCTTTTCCCAGTATAAAGATCTGACATATCCCTTACCTGCTTAAAATCTATTAGGGGCTCCCTGTTGCCCTTAGGATGAGGTGTAAGCTCCTTAGCATGGCCTGTAAGTCCCTCAAATGGTCCAGCTCCCACTTTCATCTACAGCCCTGTCTCATCATTCTTCCCTAATGTGTTCTAGCCAGACTGAACTTGTTGTGGTTCCCAGACAGGTCACATCCTTTGTTACCTCAGACCTTTCTATACACTATTCTGTCTGTCTGGGATACTCTTCCTCATTCTCACTTCTCTTCCGAATAACTATGACTCCTCCAGATCGGTGGCTCTTAACCATCATGCATCAATCTGGTGAAAACAATAGATTCTCTCCCTGGAAGAGCAAACCTGTGTTCTTATATGCTCATGGTTTCCCATGCAGCTTTAGGGTACAGGAATCCCTGGCTTAAGAACCTTTCAAGCTAAGTTCTCTTTTCTAACATTTGACATCTTTTGCAGTTATTGGTTTTCTTGTCTCTCTCTCCACTAGACTGAGCTCCATGAGGGTGGGGCTGTGACTTGTTAGCTGTTGTATTCTCTGGACCTAGTACAGTGCTTGACACATGAGGACATATCTGATTTATGTTTGATGAATGAATAAATGGGCAAATATCTGCCCTTGAGAGAATCATGTTCTCTTTGGAGAAACAGGACATGCATGTTAACAGATGATAAGTGGAAGATGGAAAGGGCTAAAAAGATGTGCAGCTGACAGCCATTCTCTGAAAGTTCTGAGCCTGAGGTGGCTTTCTGGGCCCCTTGGGAAGAGCTAGCAGAAGAGAGCACTTCGGTTGACCACACAGATGGAAGGACTTACATGACTCATCTTCTGTTTTCTAGAAATACTTTGTCAAACTATTAGAGGTGAGTGAAGGAGCAAGAACGACCAAGTCCTTGATGGTTTTTCTCCTCCAGAATTACTGAAGCCCATGGAATGAGATGTCAAGAGAATCTCTCTTCTTTTTTTTTCTACTCCAATAAATATTTTTGAAGTGCTTGTTTTATGCCAAGCACTTTGTTATGTGTTAAGGATATCTTGACAAATAAGCTTGACAAGATCTTAGCCACTTGGTTCTTTGCTAGGTATTAAGTACTAACTTGTCCTCAGAATTTGGACCAAGGCCTTGAGTTTGGGAATACTTTTATTAAGGTTATTAGTTAGGATGAGATTTTATTGAGGGATGTATTAGAAATGACACAGGGTCTAGAGTTAGGCCAAAGTTCAAATCTTCCTCCTGCCTCTGAGAATTTATGAGTAAATACCTCTTGAAATGCCAATTTTATAATTGGTAAACTGGAAGTAATACTGTCTACCTTCTGGACATGTTTCAAGGGTTAAATGAAATAATATGAGTCAGGTAAACATTAGGGTACCTTAGCAGAGGGTCTAGTACACAGTACTGACTAATATGACTATTTTTAGGCCCCATTTAAACTAAAGTCTTAGTTTGGTGTAGTAATTTTTGCTGGTTCATAAAATGATAAGATTGGATTATACAAGCTTTTTCAGAAAATAAGTGCTGTCTTTGAGACCCTAGTTTTTCTTTCACATCATTTTTTCTCTTGCTTATTTAAGTTTTAAGTACTTATTATAGAAAATTAGAAATTTAGGAGTCATGTAAAGGAGGAAGGAAAAGTCTCCTAAAGACCTACTGTCTAGGAAACTGTCTTAACCTTTTCTGAATCATAGATTCCTGTAAGAATCTGATAAAAATGACCTGTCATCTCCCTAGAAGAAGTGAACTTTTACACATATATAAAAATATTTTCATGCAATTCCAGGAGTTTCTATTTATTTACCCCAAAGTTGCAAAACCCTAACCTGACTTTCAACCACAGATTCCACAGGCAGAAAGCAATCAGCCCAGGCTCTGATTTACACTGCTGTGAGGGCTTCTGAATCTCTTGGTTCTTACAATCTGGCTGCTGTATTTTTTTAGTCTTATTTTTTGAGGACTAACTCATTAAACAAAGAATTGACTATCTTTGATTATCTTTGGCAGTATAATTACCAACTGGACCCTCATTAATGAACTTTTTAATAACTTCTGATTTCCTTGTGTATGCATGTTTTTGTTTGTGTGTCTCAATAAACTCAATAGAGAGATTGTGGAGCCTGTGTTATGGGTGGAAGAGGAATATACTGTTTTTCCCTGTTTTTCCTTACCTGTTTGTTCTACCCTAGGGTACTGTGCTGAGGCCTTTCACAGGCTTCCACTGGCAGTCAGAGGAGAGAGAACAGGGTGGAGGGTCTCAGGTCCACCTGATCTGGCAGGTGAGGGAGAAGGCAGGGTTTGGAATGTCTGCCCCATTACTTTCCTCCCCTTTCCAGAGTCATTCAGCTCTAGAACTATGTCAGGATGGGACTCTGGATTGGTGGAGGAATCATGTGCAGTCCATGCAGCTTGGAGGTGGGTGTCTGCAGCCCACATGCTGTACTGTACTTTATTTTCTTGGCTCTGGTGTATGAATTCCACAGAGAGAAAACAACCGCCCAGGCTTGGTTTCACACTCACATTAAGGCTTCTGGATCCCTTGTTTCTTGCAGTCAGGTTGCCCTTTATTTCCGTTTACAAAGACATGTGTTGCCTGTCTTTCCTGAAATCAGCAGCTTTTGCTGAATGGGCCTGGCTTTAGATAAACCCATGTGTTGTTTGCAGAGTGATGGCTGAAGGCAGGGGCCTCAGGACCATGGCAATGTGGTGCTGCCATTGCCTTTATTTACAGCCCTGCCTTCTCTCATTTTTGGATTATTATCAGGGCCTGCAGCTGTTCTCTGTGCCTGTGATCTAGCTTGCACCCTGCATCCAAAATTTCATTAATTCTCAATGGTGCTATCCCTGGGATAAAGTCCTCACTTGTTTACCTCACTTACAGGGCTTGTCAAGTCCTGGCCCCATCTACCTCTCCAGCTTCCTCCTTATCACTGTTACTCTGTGTACCAGCCAACCAGCCTCTCGTCATTTCACCAAAATTTATTCTTTTAATACTTTCCTCTCTTTGCACGAATGGTCCCCAGATTCAGCTCATCCTTCCTTACCTTTGCTGCCTGTAGAACTCTTCCTCATCCTCTAATACCTCGCTAAATGTGACCTCTTACTAGGATGTCTGACTGCAGTTCCCAGGAGAGATTTGTTGCTCCCTCCTCTGTGTTCTTGGGCTTTAGTATAGCGTAGCGGTTACAAGTGTGGATTCCAGAGTCAGACTTCTTGGGTTTCAACCCAACTCAGCCTCTTCCTAGGTGTGTGACCGTGGGCAAAATGAATTAGCTACCCTCCTGTGCTCAGTTTCTTCATCTGTAAAATGGGGATAATATTAATAAACCTCACAGGTTGTTGCGAGGATTAAAAGAGTTTAAAGTGCTTAACACAGTGTATGGCCATAGTTAGCTCTCAACAAATGTTACTTATTGTTATCACAACCCTTTGTGTATAATTCTGTCTACGAAGCTCTTATCACCTCTGTTTATAAATACTTTTATATGTCTGCCTTACTAGACTTGTGTTCCTTAAGGACAGGTACATATCTTGTTCACTTTTTCTGGCCTTGTATATGGAAGTTTACAACAAATGTTGGTTAAATGAGTGGTTGGACACAGATTTGCCTTCAAAATGGAAGTGGGCAATAGATAGAGTAAGGAATGCTTATGATTGGGTTTGTGGGTGATCACAGACCCAAAGGTGATGTGACCTTGAGGTTACCTGGTTTATCTCCCTCTGTGCCTGAATCCCTCTGCTACCTCCTGGAGCCCAGGCAGTGCTTTTACGTTTCCAAGACAGGGCAGGAGGCCATGTGGAAGGTAAACATATCCCAGGTGCCACATTCATGTCCTTTTTGTTTTTGTTGTAAACTCTAGGTGACATGTCTGAGAGTAAAGCCAAAAAGATAGAAATCAAGGACGTGGATGGGCAGACGCTGAGTAAGCTGATCGACTACATCTATACTGCTGAAATCGAGGTGACCGAAGAGAATGTCCAGGTATACTCAGGCTCACTAATAGCTCAGTGTATTGCACACTCAGGAGCCACTGTTTTACAGTGTCATTTTATTTAACTCTCACAACAATTCAGTTGGTTACTTAAGAGGAAACTATGGCTCTAGAGAGGTCAGGTGACTTGCTCTGGGCCACATGGTCAGGAGGTAAGCCAGCTGGTCCTCAAACTCATGCCTTCCTGGCTTGGGCACCCAGGCTGTTAGCCACTAGGCCATGATATCCCTGGATGAGCCTGGGCCCGGGAGTAGAAAGCCTTTAACTCATGTCAGTTCAAAATCTTGCAGAGGAAAAGCTGGGAGCTTGGGTGACTCCCCTTCTCCCCAGGTCACTGTCTTGTCTCAGAATTCAAATACCTGAAACTTTTGGGTACTAACAGTAAGTGCAAAGTAATTTGGCACAAAATGAGCAGAGGGGAGGTTGTAGAAGTCTATAATTGAAACCAGCTCTCTCTTCATCATATGTTTATTTAATAACTTTTTTCCTATAAAATACAAAGTGTTTCCAAACTTGGATAATTAGAAGATATTCTACTTTGGATCCTTATTGCCTGGTTAGGATTAAGAGGTACATAAAACAAGGTGCAGTTTGTGTGGACATAATGTTCACTGTTTGGAGGTCCTGAGCCCAGAAGCTTCTGTCTCATGAGGTTGGGTTGTGTTACCCTCCCAGCCTGTGGATGCATTCACCAATGTGAAAATTCTCTGAACCTCCTTATTTAGGGACTTTTAACCACTTCACTTTAAACTGTGGTTAGGTCAAGGGTGATGTTGGAGAAAAAACAAAAAAGATTGGGAAGGGGCTGGGCATGGTGGCTCACACCTGTAATCCCAGCACATTGGGAGGCTGAGGCAGGTGGATCACCTGAGGTCAGAAGTTTGAAACCAGCCTGGCTAACATAGTGAAACCCCATCTCTACTAAAAATACAAAAATTAGCTGGGCATGGTGGCGGGTGCCTGTAATCCTAGCTATTTGGGAGGCTGAGGCAGGAGAATCATTTGAACATGGGAGGTGGAAGTTGCAGTGAACTGAAGTCACACCACTGTACTCCAGCCTGGGTGATAGAACAAGACTCTGTCTCCAAAAAGAAAAAAAAAAAAAAAAAAGATTGGGAAGAAGACATTTTGGATCAAAATGTGGATTCTTCTTCATGCTGTTATGTATTTGCTGAGGTGGTTGCTCACAGGTTGTCTGTGAAGACAGGATCTATTGAGGATTTGGTACACTGAGAAGATGAGCATGGAGGCACTGGGGCTCTCCTGAAAGCCTCAGAAACAAGGGTCAGAGATCTGGGACTTTGTTAAATGGCTGTGAGAGCTACACTCCTATTCCCTTCCCAGCCACGTATACCTTGGAGATACCCTGAGTTGCCCTTCCATGGTGGAGGTACTAGCAGTCATAACTGACTTTTATAAGCAAACATGTGCCCATCAATTCACATGCATTATCCCATTCAATTGTCATAACCACCCATTGGACTGTACCAGTATGATCCCTCCTTTACAGCTGAAGAAACTGGTGCTCAGCAGGGTTAAATAACCTGCCATGGTCACAGAGAGAGTAAGTGGTAGAGTTGGGAGCTGAAGCCAGCCCCCAGTGCTGTGCTCTAAGGCTGTGATGAATTCTTGTTTCTTGTTAAATGAATGATCAGACATTGACTTTGGCTCATAATGATTTACAATAATAAAAACTGACATCAACTGAGCACTTCCTATGTACCAAGCACTGTGTTAACTACTTTAAATTTTTCTCATCTGATCCTCATAAGATGCCTTATTGTCCTCATTTTATTGTTGTGGGGAGAGAGGCATTGAGAGGTTAAGTAATTTGTCCACAGTTATATGGCTGGTAAGTGGAGGAGTCAAAATTTAAAATGACACTTAAACACAGTGCTCTTTGCCAGCTCTCCTGTTGGTCTATATACACCCCCCCCCACCTCTTTTCCTTTCTTTCTTTCTTTATGTGGCACTGATTCAGTGCCAGACCCACTGTGTGGCTAGGGCAGAGGCCCTGGGTGGCCCCAACACCTGGGCCCCTGGCTGGTGCCCTCCCTCCGTGCATGGCCCTGCCTCCCTGCAATTCCAGGAGTAGGTGCTTTCTGAGGCAGGGCATTTCCTTTTGTTTTTGCTAAAGGAAGCAAACCCTGTGACGGGATATCCTCTGCTGTGTTTTCATGTTATCTGAGGGAGGAAAAAAACATAACGAGGCCTGCACATGAAAAATGGAGGGGAAGCCATTGCAAGCTGAAGGGTCACCTGTAAACTCTTTGCCAGGGGCCGTTTCAGGGCCTGTTTTCCAGAAACTGTAATGCTGAGGTGGCAAAAGGCAAGCTAGAAGATTCTTGACTTAGGGTAATCTTCCATCATGATGGGTGGTTTTGGCCAATTACTCCTTCTCTGATCTCAGTCTCCTCCCTCTAGGGACCAGGCAGTACTGCCTTAGTGATTCTGAGGACAGTCTTGCTTCAGAGCTGAGGACCCACGCTTGGCCTCTTGTTCATAATCTTGTCATTCCTGCTGCTTTGAAGAGAAAAGAAGAGGAGAGGCGAGGAGAGGAGAGGAGAGCAGAGGGAGAGGAGAGGGAGAGGAGAGAAGAATAAATCCTCTCAAAGCCCTGTTGATGTAGGGAGAGGGAAGTGAAGACAGTCACATCATGGATGTGTTGCTGTCTTTTCTTTCAGAGCCTCTGGAGATGCGTTTTGTACTTGTTTCTAGATGCCAGAACCCCATTGGATGGGGCCTTACTTTAATCCCTGAGACCCAGAGCAGTAATACATCTTCCAGCCTCCAAGCCTTCCCTTCAGCATTCTGATTTCTTTTATTATTTTTTTCTTTTTTTAACACCTTCCTGTATGAAGCAAGTAGAAAGAAAAAAAAGCTTTGACTCTAAGCTAGTCTCAGTGGAAGATCAAAGAGAGGGAAAGAGCAATTAGAGAAACTGCAAGCGCATTCATTTTAGGAAGTCGGTTTGGGAAGTCTTTTGGGTAGGAGTGAACTCAAACAGGGGTATGAAGAGGTAGAAAGCCTTATAATTTTTGCCTACTAAGTGGGTATTGTGAACAGGAGGGAAGTTGAAAGCTATGTGGGTAGCTCTCTCCAGGGAAGTTTTAAAAATTAAAAGTGTAACCTAAGGAGTATATTCAGGAAATATATTTCATTTCTCTGGCTGGTTGTCATGAGCTTGAGAATTTAAGCACCACACTGTGCTGCTGTCTCCTTGGAAGAGGGGAAGGGGAAGGGACTGTGTGTCACTGGCATGATCTTGTGTATGTATATCGGGTGGAGGAACTCACTGGAATGCAATCTGGGGACAGATTGGACTCTCAGAAATCCTTTTGGGTGGTAGGTGGTGGGGAGAGGGCTGCTGTTGCATTCCTGCCTCTTCTTACATGTGGCCCTTTTGGGGTTACCACACCTCTGAGTAGGGTGTATGCTGGCTGATGTTTGATGGCTTCCTCTTCCTCAAGACTTCTTAGGGTCACTGGTTCAAGGTTACTGCTCCCTAGGTTGAACACCTATCCTAGTTTGCCCAGAAGTGAGGGGCTTTCTGGGATGTGGGACTTTCAGCAGTAAAAGGGGCAAAGTCCCAGAAAAATCAGCATGATTGGTCAGCCTACGGCCTTAACTCCAGTCTTAACTCTAGCTGATACTGGCCAGTGGGTGTCATGGAGGTCATCTGGAGATTGGGAGCAGAGCTTTTTATTCCTGGTGTACATTCAACAAGAATGGTTAATGGATCACCGTTTGACTAGCAGGCAGAGACTAATCTGGTCCTGGAATCTGTTCAGCCATGCTGAACAAGCTCACAGGTTAATTGAGTTTCCCAGTTTATGGCTGCTTAGTGGGGATGGTGGCTGTTTAGTGGGGATAGAGTTCAGGTAGCTAGATTTGGATTCTGGCTGTGTTTACTTATAGTCTAAAACTCTCAGAAGAGGGTGATTTTATCTTTTTCTTTCTCAGGAATGAATTAGTGGTTCAGAGAATACCACAGACATGGTGTTAATTTACTGTTTTCCTGCTGGGGATATAGGATAGTGGAAGAGAGGGTGGAGGAAGAGAAAAAGAGCACATTTTCTAGAACTCAGCTGTCGTGAGGGAGAAGTGTAAGCCTGTGGGTGGGAGCAGCTTTCCTTGCTGAGCATAGGCATTTGGCTCAGAAGTTCGAGCACTGATAGTGGAGGCTGTTGGTGGTTGTTGCCTGTGGGGAGGGATAATGAAGGGTGACCGACTGTCCCACTTTTAGCCCTGAAAGTCCTGGGAAGCCCCTCAGTCCTGGGAAAACTAAGACTGTTGGTAACCCCAGTGGAGGGACAAGGCCCCCAAATGGCAGTGGGGCAGAGTTTTTGGCCTGAGTACATTAAACTGATGAGAGTCAGAGCTGAGGACTCAGAGCTGTCTTGGGAGAAAGACTGAGCCCAGAATTTAAATCATTTAAAAAAAAATCTTGTTTAAGTGTCCTGAATCAAGAAAACAAATGCATCTGCAGCCGATATCTTCCTGGGCAAGCCCTCGTGGCTGGAAACAGCTAGAGTGTAGCTGGTTCAGTCACTCTCAGAGCCAGGACAGCAGCTGAGAGCAAAGGCCTGGGACAAGGGGATTATTTTGGGGTGAAATGGATGCTAGGGTCCCCAAGATAAGCAGCCTTAAATCAAGCTATTATACAATGTGATTTTTTTTCTAAATTTCTTTTTGGAAAATCATGCTCAGACTACCTGCTGCTTCCATAGGTGAAGGGCAGGGTGGCAGAGCTGGAGTGAAACACAACTTTGGCCTTTTGTCCTGTATGTTTGATCTAGAGGCAGGCTTCAGCAGCTGAGAGGAAGTCCTAGGGAAACTTGACAGAGGCTGGCTGGCTGAGAACCCAGCAGGCCTGCTCAAGCCGGTCTTCCCTGGCCTTTAGGAAAAACACATGCACATACACCTGAGCAAGAACTATTTCTGTCTTCCAGGATATAGAATAAATACTCATGTGTCCTGTGACCTTTTAAATGGAAACTTAACTCTCCTTTCTCTACGAATGTACCCAAAGATGATCTTTGCTTTGTATCTGTTTGATGGGAGAATAAAGTTTCATTGCCTGAGTCCTGAGGGATTTGGGATGAATCTTGTTCCAGTAGACTCTAAGCTCCAGCAGAACAGTATCTGGTTTCTCTTGCTTACTCTTGAATCCCAGAGCCTAAACTAGTGGCTGGCACACAGATGTTCAGTAATTAATAATAATTCATTATGTACCTTTCTGAATGAGGACAGTATACTGAGGGTGGTGGGACAGTGGTTCTAAAACTTGGCTGTACATGAGAAGCATGTGGGGAGCTTTGAAAAACATCTTAATGTCCAGGGCACCCTCCAAAACTATTAAGTTAGATTCTTTTAGAGCAAGACCCAGGCATCAGTATTTTTAAAACTCTTAAGATTCCAGTGTGCAGCTCAGTATGAGAACCACTCTGTGTGTGTGTGTGTGTGTGTGTGTGTGTGTGTGTGTGTGTGTGTGTGGAGTTTTTTTACTCAAAGTGTGGTTGGTGGACCAGCAACTGCAAGCATTGCTAGGGTTCTTGTTAGAAATGCAGGCTCTCAGATCCCATCCTAGACCTAATGTATTAGAATCTGCATTTTAATAAGATCCCCAGGGATTAAAGACCGGGAAGCATGGCTGTAGGGATACAGAGAATCTGCTGGTGTTTAGGGTCCATGAAGTGCAGAGTAGGGGGAAATAAGGCTGGAAAGCAGGCTGGGAAGTTTGGACTTATTGGGCAGGCAGTGGAGAGCTGTGAAAAGATCTTGAGCATAGGAGTGATATGATAGGAACAGAGGGATGAGTCCCTGCCAGTGGAATCCAGTGTCTGAGAATGTCACCTTCTCTTGCAGGTGCTGCTACCAGCAGCCAGCTTGCTACAGCTTATGGATGTTCGGCAGAACTGCTGTGATTTCCTGCAGTCTCAGTTGCATCCCACAAATTGCCTGGGGATCCGTGCATTTGCAGATGTGCACACCTGCACTGACCTTCTGCAGCAGGCCAATGCGTATGCAGGTAATGGGGAGCCGGGCTGCTGCACCTCCTCCGAGTTTGTGGCTCTAATCACCTGGCCTTCTGCAGACTCCTCAAAGATTATGAGAAGTGGTCTCTGCTGTGAAGCAGCTACGGTTTAGTTAGGAATACAAGATCCAGGTGGAAAGATAATTAATGGTAGGAAAGTTAAGCTCATTGCCAAGTGGAAAATGATTAATTGCCAAATGGATGGTACAGACAGTAATTTTCACTAGAGTAGAGGAAGGAGATCTGAGAAGACTTGTGGGGTGGGGAGAGTAAATTGAGCTAGGTCTTGAAATAAACAGTTTTTGGTATTATTAAGGAAACCTTCACTTTCGTCAGATATTCCATGAACATGCTTTTAAAAGTCACGTCCTATTGAAGGGCTTATAATGATGAGGGGTACCCTGCTCCACCTTTCCACCCTGAGTCTTGTGCTGCACAGCCACTGACTTTCAATCCTTAAAGAATTAAAATGCAGGTTCTGATCCAGCTAAAAGCTACGTCATCTGCTACCCACTTCCGTTTATCAAAATAATATGTGTAACTGCTGTTTTTGGATTTATTAATTTTAGATATTAATTGTTGACTTCTCCAGAAGAATAAGGTTGAGCTTTTTCATACTTTCTTCTTATACACATGCAGCCATCCCCCTCTTTATTGTCCAGATATCATTTCCACAACTGAACTAAATAATCTGTTACAGGGATTTTTAAATCAGAAAACGAATCAGAAGGGCAGTTAATAATTGTGTTTTTCTCTTGCACAGTGTATGGTTCTACCACTAATTCTTGTTGGAACAGTCCTCAATACATCAGATAATCTGTTGATTCACTTATTTTTCTTGGAGATATTCCCTGCGCTAGAGCTTGTCACTTTATTATTTTAATAGGGTTTTGGAAGGGAGTAGAAATGAACATTTATATTCAGTCCACCATGTTTATTTAGCTAGCTGGAAAGAAATCTTCATTGCCACTTGTTGCAGTCTGAAGAAAGATGATGAATGACTAGGAAATAGGCCTGATCATTTTAATTGATAAATTCAGCCATGGCCACCTTCTTGCCTTGTAATAAAGCAACTCATTCTTTTCCCTGCCCAAACACTGTCATGGCTGCTATTCTGTTCAGTGTCTCCTGCAGCTAGTGTCTGGAAATTAGCTGAGGACTACTGGCTGCCCACCTGCCAGCTAGCTACCTGTGCTGTGTTAGCCTGTTGGTCAACAAAGCAACAAGCAGCTGTTCTGTTTCTTGGCATGCTTTTTGTGTCTGATTAAGTCCCTGACCCCAGGAGCCTGCAGAGACTTTCATGTCTCCCCACAATCTGTTTCTGAGGGCACACATGGGAGCAGTTGTAAAGATAGTCTTGATATGATGATTTTTGTGAAGGATATTACCCAGTAGCCCCAATTCTGAGTCCTGCTGATTCTTTCTGGCTCTAAACCTTGACTCTTCTGTTTCTCTGCTATTCCTGTGCTCTCTTTCCCCTGCATATTCTCCACTGCCTTTCCACATTTGCTTAGGAAGCCCCTTCTCTCCCTGGGGAGGATGCTCAGTGAAGCCTTTGAAGAGGTTACTTTCTAGATGGGTGGATGTGTTAAGATTTTGCTTTAGCAGGAGCCAAGCTCTTTGCTAAGGCAAGCATTTTCTGTGCAGATTATTTTCACAAACATTTGCTAGTGTAGTGGCAAAGGAAGAGTGCTTAGATGTCAGAAATTACATGTCAGAAATTCTGTCTTCTTCTGAGTCTCCTCTTACCAACCGTCTCCTTCCACATAGCATGTGCATGCACGTGTGTGCACACCTAGCACATGTCCCACCCTAATTGGCTGATACAGTTGTCTGAGGTTTGGGGAGTATACTGAATCCCCACCTTTTTTAAAATTTAAAATTACATTTTAGATTCAAGGGTACATGTGCAGGCTTGTTACATTTGTATATTGTGTGAATCTGAGCTTTGGCTTCTGTTGATCCCATTACTCAGATGGTGGATATAGGACTCAATAGAAAGTTTATCAGCCCTTGACCCCACTCCTTGGGGAGTCCCCAGTGTCTGTTGTTCCCATCTTTATGTCCATGGGTACCCAGGATTTAGTTCCCACTTACAAGTGAAAACGTGATATTTGGTGTTCTGTTTCTGTTTGGTTAATTCACTTAGGATAATGACCTCTAGCTGTGTCCATGCTGCTGTAAAGGACATGATTTTGTTCTTTTTTATGGCTGCGTAGTATTCCATGGTGTATATGTACCACATTTTCTTTATCCAATCCACTGTGGATGGGCACCTAGACTGATTGCATGTCTTTGCTATTGTGAATAGTGCTTAATGAACATATGTGTGCATGTGTCTTTTTGGCAGGACAATTTATTCTCCTTTGGGTATATACCTAGTAATGGGATTGCCGGGTCAAATGGTGGTTCTATTTTCAGTTCCTTGAAAAATCTCCAGACTGCTTTCCACAGTAGCCGAATTAATTTACATTCCGACCAGCAGTGTATAAGTGTTCCCTTTTCTCTGCATCTGTTGTTTTTTGACTTTTTAATAATAGCCATCCTGACTGGTGTGTGATGGTATCACATGGTAGTTTTGATTTGCATTTCTCTAATGTGAATCCCCACCTTTAACAGAGCTCCCAGGCTCTTCTGGCCTGGCTTTTCCCAACTTTAATGTCTGTGTTTTCTCCCTTTGCCCCTTGCACTGTATGATGATGAGACTCATCTGTGGGAGAGAGTGCAGCAGATGCAGCTGGGAACACATCCATCTTTCTGGTACTCCTTGGTCCTGTTGCTGTCATTGTGACTGAGTTCTGTCTGCATTACGGGTGTGTATGTGCAGCCATCTTGATGAATTATCCTTAGTTAGTGCTTATTGAGCTCTCACTTTGAGTCATACCTTATGTTAAGCATTTTATTGGCCTCATCCCATTTAATGCATATAATAGCCAAGGAAACCAGAGCATAGAGAGGTGAAGTAATTTGTTGAGGTCACATAGTGACAGAAGGGACAAAAGGCAGGATTCAAGCCCAGACTATGCCGACTCCAGAGCCAGTGTTTATTACATTCTACAGCTTCCAGGCCCAGTTTGGACATAAGGACTCCCTGTGAATCTGTAACCGAGGAGTGCATGTGGCTAGAGTTGGCATTTTCCAATGGATGCATGTTCCTGGAAGCCTGTGCAATGTAGTCACCAAATCCCAACAACCAGGCAGTGTAGACAGACATCCAGCTGTCCACTAGACAGGGTATGTCATCACCTTGGGGTGGAGAAACGACCATGTGGGTGTCTTCTTCTCTTTCTTGTTGGATGACTTCCTCTCAGACACATGGAGCCTGTTCCTTCACTGCATGAGTGAGCAGGCCCTCCTACTTTCCCTGGCTGGGTCAGCATGATCTTCAGGCTAAGAGTTTCCTTCCTGTTATGTAGGCCTTCTGTGGAGCCTGTGACCCTCTCCTGGGCGGCTTTCTCTGTAGCTGTCTGCTGTGCACACTAGGGAGATAATATTTTTAAAGTAGTATAATGTAGATGATAAGGCCATGATGCAAAGATGTTAAAAGAAGGGTATGAAGGCTAGATTGTGCAGTGTTTAGAGAAGAAGTAGAAAACTATTATCCATGCTTACTCCCTTGAACCTACCCACTGATGTGGGCCTGCTTTTTTTCTTGGTCTTGTACCCCTGATTTTAGATGGAGCCTGGTGTTCTCTGCCATCGCTGCCTCTTGAGACAGACCTGTGACCTCATTCTATTGTAAGTACAGGGATGCAGGCACCCACTAGGGTCACATACAAGGGAAAGCATTGGTCTCCATGGTCACAGGCCTCCATGGACACAGGCCTTGAGTTAGAAAGTATTTCATGCCAACAAACTATAAGGAGACCTTCCATATCGGAACTCGGAATCAGACCAGCTAACACTTTGGATCTGAGTAATCCTGAGCCTATTTTCTCCTCTCTGTGATGGGAGTAGCACATCCTATCCTGTCTCCAAGGTAATTTGGAGATTGGGGGAATGGGGAGGAGAGCATCCTATGGAAGTAGACACCACTGGGGCTATGCTGTGGAGCCTCCCTGCCAGCCTCATCATCTGCAGTGAGGGAGCCTCAGAGTTGGGTCCAGGCAGGAGAGACAAGAATCCTCAGGTACTGCTGCTGCAGATCACATGCACTTTGTGGGAGGAAGGCCATATCCAGGACTTCTGGTTTTGGTTTCTCTTCATCTAGGTGTATGGTGCGGGCAGGTATATCCTGTACAGTCTTCCCTACTCTTCCCAGTTTCTGGCTAGCTTTGCTTTGCCTTCACTTATCTGTAGATTTGTTTTGCTGCTGAATTCTCTTTCTTTTCCTTCTCTAAAAAGCTTTCTTTTTCTATACTTATCGTTATTGTTGTTGTTATTCTTGCTATTTTAAGAAAAATTCATCCCTGACTATTACAGAAATAGCACATAGGTGGAAAGAAGATACCATAATCCTACCTAGAGAGACCTGCCTGCAGCACCTTGATGTATATCCTTCCAGATCTTTTTCACTGTATATGTGTGCTTTCCAGCTTAAAAAGCATTCTAGCCAGGTACAGTAGCAGGCGCCTATAGTCCCAGCTACTTGGGAGGTTGAGGTTGATAGCTCAAGCTGTCATGCATAGCATGAGCCCAGGAATTTGAGTCCAGCCTGGGCAACATAGCAAGATACTCCATCTCTTAAAAAAACATTCTTAGCGGTATATTCTGAATGTCTTTCGGTGTTAGCAGATACATTTCTATACCATTGTTTGAAAAATTTAGGTAATATGTTCAATAAAAGCAATTTATACTGATGACCAAAAAAATGTAAACAGTACATAGAGGTATAAAATGCAAAGCCAGTCTTCTCCCAGGCTGTCTCTCTGAAGTGGGGAGATCCTTGGTATCCCTACAGAATTTATGTATTATGCTTTTGAACTTACACAAACAGAAGCACTCTGGACCCATTGTACTTTTGTTTGACAATACAATCTTGCAATTATTTTCAG